AGGTTCCCAGGACCCAACAGGGATGACATTAGCCAAAATACCCAACAAAGGTGAGACAGAACCCGTAGAGACCATATCCAGTAGATAGGCATGGCCCCCAATTGAGGGACAGGGCCACCCACATAACTCAAAGATTTTAATCCAGAATTATATTTATCTAAAGGAAATGCAGAGACAAAAAATATGGGGCAGAAACTGAAAGGAAGGCCAGCCAGGGACCACCCCACCTGGGGATCCATCCCATGTGCAGACACCAAACCCTGACACTATTGCTGATGCCAAGAAGTGCTTGCTGACAGGAGCCTGGTATAATTGTCCCTTGAGAGGCTTTGCCAGCACCTGACCTATACAGATGCAAATACTCACAGCCAACCATAGGAGTGAACCCAGGGACCCCAAGGAAAGAGTTAGAGGAAGGACTGAAGGACCTGAAGAAGATTGCAACCTCATAGGAAGAACAACAATATCAACTAACTGGACATCCCCTCCCCCAGAGCTCACAGGGACCAAACCACCAAGCAAAGAGTATACATGAGTGGGCCCATGGCTCCCTCTACATATGTAGCAGAGGACTGCCTTATCTGGCATCAATGGGAGGGGAGTTCCTCAGTCCTGTTTAGGCTTGAAATTTCAATGTGAGGGGACTTTAGAGACAAGGGTAAGGAAGAGCACTCAAATAGAAGCAAAAGAGTAGGGTGAAGGGATGGGGGGGGCTTTGGAGGGGAACCAGGAAGAGGGACAGCATTTGAAATATAAATAAATAAAATAATTAGCAAAAAAGGGAAAATGGAAAAAAACCTATACATATTGAAATTGGGTGAGGTCTCAATAGTCATCATTTTGAAAAGTAGTCATCTAAGTAAATAACTAGAAAATAGTTTCCTCATGTAAAAATTTAAATTAAATCCAACTATGTTTTTCTCAAACTTTTCTATGAAACTGGTGCCGTCTATTTCACAAGGGACATACTATTCTACGGTATTGGACTTGGAATTGCTTACTTTCCTTTGCTTTTTTTTTTTTTGAATGTTGAGTTTTGGTGTTAAAATTTGATCCATTTTATAAAGATGTTTCTTTATAGTAGACTGTGGATTTAAATGCATTCATCCTCCTCTCTTCTCGTTTCTCATTTTCCTAGTCATACTCTAAGGCATTTTTCAGCGTCTACTATCAGGTCTTATACATGCATAGAATGAATACTGGTGTATCACACAATCTAGTTAATGAATGGGCTAATGAAAGAAAAAGAAAATTCTCAAAGGATGAAGTATAAATGAACAAATACTCAAAATATCAGTGGGAAATTCTGCAAGTCCAGCTCACCAAGCAAGAATGTCAGATGTGGCAAATACTTTTGTTTTATTACAGATGTAAAACCTTACTGAATAGAACTACAAATGTATGGAAACAGCCCCAAAATTTGTCTATTTGTCTATTGGATTGCATTAAATTAAAAGGATCTGCATGACAAAATAAACTCAAATGCTTATATAATGGGAGAAAACACTAATTATACTTCAGCTAAGGGGTTAATAACAGATATATATAACTATCTTCAAAAGTTACAGAAGCACATCAACAAATGAGTCAGTGAGCTCCAAAACAGTTTTCGAAAGAGGAAATATAAAAGGTAAATATATCTTTTTAAAGTGTTAAAAATATGTCTGTTCATTATCTAAATGCAAATTACAATTTGGGTTTCCATTTCCTTCTATTTAGAATGCTAAAGAAAACAAATATTTAAGAACACAAATGATACAAGTTATGGTCAAGATAAGGACAAAAAAAAAGAACTCTTACTAACTATTAGTAGAGAGTTAAAGTAGTGAGTCAACAAATAGTCTTAAGTAATCTAGTTCCCAAAAGACAAACACTGTAGCTGTTATGTCATATGCAGGCCTGTGAACTACATGTGTCAAGATCAGTGTAAATATTAAAAAGACAAGCAAGCTAGAAATAGCTTCATGGAACTGACAGGGGTGGCTTTTAAAGAAGGGAAGGGAGAACAGAGAGAAGGATGAAGGAATACAGGGCACAAACAGTACAGCAAAGGGTGCCAGTGCTTGGAAGAAATAATTCAACCAAAAGCAAAGTATTTATGGAAACCACATATGGAAATCTATTACTTTGTAAGCTAAAAAAAATGAAACAAATAACAACAAATGGGGAAAGGATGAGGGGAAAGAAAAACGCTTATATGCTGCTTTGGGGGATATAAATTACTTAAGTCCCTTTGAAAGCCATGTAGAAATTTAAAAACAAACAAACACAAAAAAAAACCAAAGCTGTCATTTAATGTTTGAAAACTAAAAGCATTGAAATAATATTTTAATTTAAGGCTCTTGTATACTCACAATCAACTTAATGGGGTCTAGAAGGATTCAGAACTAGTCTCTTTACAGTTTAATATGAAAGGATTTAAGTCTCAGCAGCACAAGTTTAGTAAGTAGCTTCTTACTTTGAACTATGATTGATAAGCATTTAAATAAGTTGAGTTACCAGGACTAAAATCCTCTTGTGTGGAGAGATTTTATTCAAGCTTGATGAAAGCTAGAATCATTTTAGAAGAGAGAATCTTAGTGAAGAAAATGCCTACATAGGATAGGCCTGTAGACAATCCTGTCTATTGTATATTTTCTGGGATGGTTGAAATGGGAAGGCTCATCTCACTGTGGGTGATGCCACCCTGTATTGGTGATCTTTGACAATATTAGAATGCAGGCTGAATAAGGTATGGCAATCAAGATGTAAAGCAGTATTCTTTCATGGCCTCTGCTGGAGTTTCTACCTTTATATTTCTGACGTGACTTTCTTCAATGATGTAGAAGTGTAAATAAAATAAATTCTTCATTAGCCAAGTTGCTTTTCACTACTGTGCCTTATTACAGCTTTGGAAACTCTAAGACACTTCCCTTGTTAACTGTACTGAATAGGGTTTAACAGAGTATCAAAATTTTCTATATGAAGTGTAAGGCAGCAACATTGTAATATATCCTTGGAGAAAATGGCCCAAGAAATAGAATAGGAATAAGAAGATACAGCCAGTATCAGAGAACATCTTGCCATGCCCAGAAAAGAAGATTTTCAGGATTTTTAGGAGGATAGGTAGGTGTCTATGCCTAGGAACTGCCACAAATGCATATTTGGAAGTTCCAAACCTGAAAAATAGAATCATGGGAAAAACAAGAATTAGCAATCTAGACCACTTTCATTAAGGACTAGATGCCCGAGAGAGTACAAATGAAGCCCTCTCCATGGCTCCTCCAACTCAACTCTTATAAATTTGTGACTTTGTGCTTTTCTGGCTAAGTGGCCTTTTGTTCTCAATATTGGTTTAAAAGTAAAATCTATCTCCCTTTCTCTTAGGTTTAGGAACTTACATTGGATTTCTCTTACAAACAGAGTCAGTTTAGTCTCTTTTTCTGGTTATAACAGGCCTATGGTTGTAGCTCACTATATTCTCATTCCTCTGTCATACAAAATTACAACTTCATTCAGCCAAAAACAGTTTCCTATGTCATGGTTCCAGGTTTTCATTTTTTTACACATATCTTTGCCTGCACAGAATGCTAACTGCATTACTTCTAACAACTTCATTCATCTGTTGAGGCTGGTAACCACCATCATCCTTAAAGATACAGGTCAAATATTTGTATGAGTGTTCCCTATAGCAGGCCTTCACATTTTACCACCAGACCTTACATCTCTTCTATGAAAACCAGACAAGCATATTTTAATTATTTATTTATATACCTCTCTGATGAGAACAAGAAACTGCAGCTAATTCAGGTGCTTTGGGTTTTGGAGTAAAGTATGTAAGAGATTGTAGCTCTATGTCCAAATACCTCTATCTCTCAATTAATGAATGAAGAACTGTTAGAATTTACCATACTCAATTCCTTTATCTAAAATATCTGGCTAAGCTACAAGACACTGCCTAATTATACATTTCAAAGCTGTAAAGAGGTCAAGCACATGCAAAAGAAAGGAGAATAGCATAATTCCATTATTCATGTTTAACACTTACTCATTAACAATCAACTTGAATCTTCATGTAATAACTATAACTCAAGGGTCCCATGTCCATTACAATTATTTTCTCCAAATTCTACATATAATATTTTATTTGCAGTTGGAGTTATGTTTGCTTTGTTAAAAATATTAAGGAAATATTGAGATATTTCTATTTTTTTTTAAAAGGAATCCTCGTTTCAGGTATGTTGCTGCAATAAAGTACTCTGATAAAAAGCAATACTGGAAAGAAAGGGTTTATGTCACAATTCCTAGTTAAAATCCATCACTGATTCCCCATGGCAACATGAACTTTAAGTACTTAAATTTAGAATGTGCTGACTCCCACTGAGGGCTGGGCATTCCCACGCTAGTACATTGAAACATTGACATGCCCACAGACAAGCCTGGATTAGGTAACCCTTCCTGAGACTCTCTTCTCAGGTGACTCTACATTGTAGGAAGTTAACTGGAAAAACTGAGCACTACCAGAGGGATGCTATGACTATATACTGCAGCAAAACATTGTCTAGCCCAGTGTGTTGATCAAATGAAGCCAAGTAACTCTCTGCTGTAGGTTCTGGTTATACCAATTCTCCCTCTGATTTATGAAATGCACAGATTTATTCTACCATAGTAAATCATTTTCTATGACATACTGTAGTACCATTTATCAACTCTGTCCCCCATGTTTTCTGGTATTTAGATTGAGATGTTTTACAAGAATTTCACTCATAAACACCTTTATGTTATGCCATAGTGTTGTTTGCTTCAATCAGGAAGTATTAGCACCTGATGACCTCTGATCCTATCAATGAACTATATGCATTCATTCATTATGAGTCGAAAAATGATAATGATGTACTTTTGCAAAATTTTTTTTAATTTTTTTGGCAGATACTATTGCTTTCTGGCACTATTCCTGTGAAGGCTTTGATGTGGGAATACAGTTGCGTATAAAACATTTACATATTCTATATTTCTTATAGAAACATCCTGTACCATCTTGATAAGAAGACAAGCCAGTTTTCCATCCTTAAGGAGGCTTGGGATCACTGCAATCCACAGACATCAAATGAGACTTTGCAAGAGGCCCTGTCCAACGTTTTGAATAGCATTAATTCAGCTCTTATTTCCTTCAAAGCAGGACTGGATGTGTTTGAGAGTGTCTTACTTAGAAAGAACTGAAAAACTATTCAGATTTTTCACAGTTTGTTTACAATTGTAACAGGAAAAGCTCTAATTTGACCAGATGTTTGTTTGTCTTGCTGTTTTTTGTTGTTGTTGTTGTTGTTGTTGTTGTTGTCACTGAAGTCCTCCTTGAAGTTTAAAGCTATTATACAGCATATTTTTTAATGTACATAAGAAAGAACATTTTGTACTTTTAAAATATTTTCTTATAACTCCACTGGAGTATGTAACAACAATTACTGAACTAATACTTAAGATTTATCTATTACAGAAAAATATGCCATGTTTTTAGAAATAAAATGGTTGGAAGGAGGTTAAGATATTATTGGCATTGTCACTACTGTGGACAGAATGTGGAGGAATGCCAGTATTCTCACTGATGAAACCGCTAGGGACCTTATGTTAGCCATGGAGACCTAATAAGGTTTCAGATAATTTTGCAAGTATCTGTTCAATATGAAGACATGATGCATTCTGAATGAGTGATCGATGCCCCAGACCACTTTGAATGTTTCTATTTTATAAAATGAAGTCTATCTTCTTAACACAACTAGATATAGTAATGCACTGGTTATGAAATTGCATTTTATAAGTAATAACAAAAAAAAAAAGAGAGCCATAAACATTCCAAGGAGAAAATTCCCAAGAAACTAGATGGAGCAATTTAAATGCAAATTCTTCCTGAAGTGACAAGTTTTGAAACCCTTAAATTGCCTCAGTTGATGCTACATGAACTTCAGCAGTGATATTCATTGACAAGGGAGAGAACATTTTCTACTTTCTGTGGTTTCTGATAGAAGTACAGAAACAGTGAATGTGCTAAAGGAGTACCACACACAGCTGCTCTCCTTCCATCTTCCTCACAACCTCTTGCACTATAGTGGCTGTAACAGAACATTAGATAACTCTGATGGAAAAATGGCAAAGTTTGTCTTTGAAAATCCAAAATATTACCAAGTACAACTAAGTGTTGTTTTATACAACTGGCAAGATAAACCCTATTATGAAACATTTGTTTATTTTGTCAACAAATACTCTAAATTCAGGAAGAAAATTTAACATCTGTCTTTGTTATCCTTTAGTGGTAAAGCTCAAAATAGAAAATAGGCAGGCCACTTAAGCTATCATTAGGGCCTGTTCTCCTACAGTTCTTTCGTGTAGGTGAGGGACTTTATATCTTGGCTTTGTCATTCAGTAGCTCTAGAATCCTTAGTCCCTCCAAACTAGAAGATTCTTCTTCATTATGGAGAAGTAAAACTTTTATCCTACCTTTTTACAATAGACTTGTTAAAAAAATTTTTTTCTTTTATTGAGTAATGCAGTTTTCCTTTGGAAATAGAACATCATAATAGTTATTATAACAGTCCCTAACTATTTCAATCCTGAAACAATTGACATTGCTATCCTGTGGCCTTCCCTGTTTATCTAAGACTTTTTACTTCTTTAGGACGAACATAAAAGTAAGGTTAGTTAAAAAGAAAGCTAGCGTCAAGGGAAATCAATTAATCATCATTAGCTAAATGATTGACAAAAGTCATCTGCTCCCACCATTAATAATGATTGTTTTCTCAAAGCAGTAAACTGAGGCAATTCATTATATAATTCAAGCAGAAGCACATGTTTATTTAAAGTGCCTATGTACAAACATTTTCATACCTTGTAATGAAATACCTTGTAATGTTTTAATGCATGTATTTGATGTAATGATTTTAACGGTACTTGCTTGAGAATATTATGCCACACTACTGAATATGAATGGGAAGGTGCTAAGAGGGTTTGGCACTACCTACCCAACACTGCTTCTTCTCCATTATCTGCAGAGATCAGCAGAATAAAGGTGGTCAGAATACTCATACTGCAAGAGACTCAAATCCTATGTCAAAGGGTGTTTCATACTGAATCCACAGTTATGCAGTTTGTAGTGTGGAGTTGAATTTGGTAGATTATCATCTTAGATCAAATCTCTGTATTGTTTTAGTACAACAATTCAAAAAAGTATTCAGAACAGAAAACTACCATCTAGGATTGTAGAAAGACTATGTACATAGGTAAACCAATTACCTATGAGACCTGTCTATCTTCCTTTTAAATTTATTGTATTTGTTCATTAAAAACCAGTTAACTCCTGTCTAGCATATTCTATTAGATCATTTAAAAGATCATATAAAATGTTTAAGTTACATTTAAAACAGATGTTCATAAATCCTAAAGATGATGCTTCACATTTTAATTTTACTTAGCTCTGATATCTTACAACATTTTATCATAGCTCTGACATGCTTGTCTTAAAACATTTTCAGAAGCAAAGCATGTTAACTTTTTGCAGAACTCTCTAGTAGATATCATCCTGAACCAAATAGTTACAAGTGGAGGATGAATCAGTAGCACATTCAAACTGATACCAAGATATCTAGGTATCAAATACTTCTCAAAGTACTTCATATAGAACTATTCCCAGGAGGGAGTAAGTCATAAAAAAAATCATTTCCAAAAAAAATGCTGTGAGTCCATATCTAGGCTGGATGTATGGGGATATTACTCCTTATCTGAGAGACAAAAGAGAGCCTGTCAGTCAAGACCAAGGCCAAGGATCTTGCCTTTAATCATAAAATCATTACTATCCAATGTATAAGTGGTATCTGAGCAAGATGAATGTAAAAATGTGGACATAGGCATATGTTCAGAGTGGGGCTAGAACCACCTGGATTTCAGGTTCTCAATATTCTTGTCCAGTGTATACTGTTCTCTCCCCAAGAAGACAGAATTATAGATGACCTTTCTAACAAATTAGTTGAAACTAGCCACCTAGTTAGATGCTGTTTTGAGCTGAGAAGATTATTTTAATGCCAGACAAGTCCTTGCTTTGAATATACTTGGCAAAATGTTCCCAGAAAATCAGGGCAAAGAGTACAAAATTTGAAGAACAACTCTATATGACTCCAGAAGATAGGAAGAAGATTGCTGGGGAAAATATAACAGAAGGACCTGTTACCTAAAAACATCAACAGTATTTGTTTGAAATGTGAAATATGAGAAAAGAGAATTTAGAATATTTATTCTCAGATTTGATAGCATCTAGTTTAGTGATTTCTAATCTATATTATCATGTATCTTGATAAAACATCTTTTTGAAACTCATTAAAGTAACAAAAAAAGAAAGTCACATTAATGATGGATTCCAAAAGTTTTTCAAAATGCCATCATTATAACTGCAACCAAGGGGATGGAGAGATGGTTCAGCAGATAGGAACACTTGCAACTCAGTCATGAAGACTTGAATTCAGTTTACAGCATCTGTCAGGGTGCTTATAAATGCTTGCAGTAAGGGATCCAATTCCCTGCTCCTAGTCTTCAAAGACATCACATATACACATTCACACATTAATAAAATAAACCTCAAACAAAATATAGTAAATTCAGAAGATGACCTGTTTTATCTGTAAAAGAGTGGTAGGATGTAGCTGACATTTATGCCAGCTACTGCAGGCACTTGACTAGACATGGTTTACTTTTTCCCCTAGTTGATTGTATACAGCAACTGATTTAACAAGGAAGAAACCAGGTTTAATGAGACATGTTCAGAGATTTCAGAATAATAATAACAATAATAATAGTAATTATAATAAATAATAAATGTTGTATTGTTTATTTTCTTCTCAGAGGGACCCAGTAATATCACCATGGCCTTCTTTACACCTAGTGCTGCAGAGAACATGATGTTTCTAGTTGGAAAAATACTACGATGTAACATTTTGAGGTAACTTTATACCTACAACAAGCCTCAGTTAAGTCATCAACAACCTTGGATAGGAGCCACTTCATCTGCAAAATACCTACAAAGCAACATACATAATCTTCAATGGCTATAAACCATCTACAAATGGTATATATGTATAAGTTTGAAACACCTAAAAAAACAAAAGCTAATCAGATATCCTATCAGGACAACTAGGCTTCAAGTTGTGAAACAAGGCAGAATTCACTAATCTCATAATTTTCTATCCCAAATGTTTGTACAATTCATTTAGAAAACAACAGATGTATTGATTTAGGAATAAAGCTATATATCAGATTTTAAACCTCAACTTCTTAAGTAATTACATAGCATGTCGGAATTTTGTTTGCTAGAAAGATAAGCTATGCTTTCAAACTTAGAAAAATAAAATATTTGTTACAATTTTATCAGTTGCAAATCAGGATATTGCCTGATTAAAAAAATAAATTATTTGCTGAATAAATTGGTAGAAGTATCCACTAATGTTCTACAGAGACACTCAGTAGTACATGTAATTAATTCCTGAAATAATTAAGCTCCCCTTGAAGATTACACATTGCTATCTCATTGGTTTAACGTGTTACTGAAGTGTGCCTTGGCCACACATTTTCTTAATAGAAAATACTTTAAACATAGTTTAAACTGCCAACACATATGCTGAGAAGGGAAATGGTTTTGCATATTCCAATATATTACTTTCCACTGTGTTGCTCTGCAAAACTGGGAATTTAGCCTAGGCATGGGAGAACAAGTATTTACTGAGCTATGCTTTCAAACTCAGAACTCTTGCATGAGTTTAAATTGCTAACCTAAAATAAAGCTCATTAGAGTTTGCTGTTCTGAAATCTAAAAAAGTGTTGAGGTACCCTATCAAGTGTGGATACCCTTGAGTTGAACAGAATTTTTTTATGAGATTTTGAATTTGAAGTGATATAAATGTGAAAAATTGCAAACTGTAATGTAGAATGTTGATGGTCATCACCATGTCCACTCAGAAATATATTTTATTTTCTTTCTGGGTACATTTTAGACATGGTATTAGACATTCCCTTTCTCTCTTTCTTTCTTTCTTTCTCTCTTTCTTTCTTTCTTTCTTTCTTTCTTTCTTTCTTTCTTTCTTTCTTTCTTTCTTTCTTTCTTTTGTTTTTTGTTTTTGGGGTGTGTGTGTGTGTGTGTGTGTGTGTGTGTGTGTGTGTGTGTATGTTTCGAGACAGGGTTTCTC